CTGCTTTAGCAGGGGGGTTGGACTAGATGATCTCCCGAGGTCCCTTCCAACCCTTGCGATTCTGTGATTCTGTATGATTCTGTGAACCGCCCTTCTGCATCCAGCAAAGGCAGCCTGAGGTCTGCACAGCACATAGGAAACAGCTGAGCAGGGGGAAAAAAAAAGTCAAACCAATTCCAGTCACCTCTGAAACGAGCAGAGTGCCAGGCACCAATGGACAAAAATCATGGGAAAAAAACTTCTGAAACTCCAGACACAGCATCATCTGCCTTCCCTCCCCTGCCAAAGAAAACAGGAAAATTTGTGTCTTTCGCCCACCCTTTGGTTAGGTACTTCTGCAAAGCAAACTCCTGAGCAGTTGAATCTTCATTCCGCAGCCACAGGCCAGCCAGCCTCTCCGGGACTGCACGGGCTTCTCTCCCCACTGCTGACTTTAGCACAGCTTGTTAATCTGCTGCTAATTTTGTACTTTGTTACTTATTTGTATAGCAGCTTTCAGTAAATCCCTGTAGCTAAATCCGACCACGTTTGCTGAGGACATTAAGAAAAGTAAGGTCTAGGGGTTTCCTGTGCAAGCACAGTTCTACAAACATGTCCCGCACTGAGAAAAGACCCTTTCAATTGATTCACTAGGAAAAAACAACACACATTTCATTCTCTAACTTTCCCTCCTTCCCGTGACGGGTATCTTTGCAGCTCCCTTGTAAGCGCGGGGTCACGGCAGCTCAGTTACATCCACCCCGGCATGTCTTCGTGCAGCAGCAGACCTGCAGAGGAGTCAGCGCTTGGCAGCATCCTCTGCGGGGCTGATCTAAACAAGCAACCAGGAAGAGGAACGAGCAGAGCGCAGTTAATTTTATTCTCGGAGGGTAACGGAATAAATAAGTGATATGAATCAGCACAAGGAGTCAAAGCACGCAGCCCAGAGTTGCAGGAAACAGGACAAGTCGGGGCTCTCTGTAAGCACAGTATCAGCCGCTGTGACATGCCCAGGCTCGCTCCCGGGCACTTCCCGCTCGCCAGGAAGTGTGAGAGGCTGCAGGGATCACCCTGAAACCCACAGGACAGGACAAGCTCTCTGCAACTGCAAGTGTAAAACCCCTGGTAAAAGCCCCACAGAACTTCCGCAAGCCAGGCCTGGGAGGACAAGGCATGGGCAGGAAGGCCAGGCCCTGGCGGGGTGCCGGCGCACGGCGAGTCCTTCCTCTGGCACCGCTGCTCACGAGTGCTTCCCGGCCAACTTCCTCCATCCCTGCCGCTCTCCACCCCACGCCAAAAAGCCACACAGGCACCACATCGCAGAGCACCAGCTCCATCTGCCGCTCGCCATCGGCACTCTGCACTCCCAGCTCCACATCTGGGACACATCTGTACAGGACACATCTGCGGGACTGGTGATGCCACGTCACGACTGCCCCACGACTGGGACAGCCCAGGCCCGCCCTGCCCTGCCCATCAGGGAGGGTCCCGTGCCTCAGCTGCTCCCACACACCCCACTGCGGCACATCCCAAAGCCCCTCTGCTCTCGCCCGCCGCATGCTGCCCTGGCAGGCTGCAGCCAGCTGCTTCACTCTCCAGGAGATTTTGAAAGTTCCTGAATTTGCCCAAGGAGAGACAAGAGCTGGCCCACAACCTTCCCCAAGGGTTGGGATCCAGGTCTGATTCCTGGGTTTCGCTCTAGCAGAGGACCCAACTGATCCCAGCCCTGCTGGAGCCGGGAGGCGCAGGGGGGAAGAGCAAGGCCAACTCCAAAAGCAGAGCCCGAATCACATCCTTGTGAAGAAAAAGTAAAGTTCAGGTTTTTTACCAATCCTGCCTCGGCAGCTCAAGCTGCCTCTGAGCACTTGTATCAAGCCTCGTCTCTTGGCCTGCTCTAGGACGATAGCTGCAGGTAAGAACCAGGAGCCCACGAGCATGTTTTTGGGACACCAGGAGAACCAGGAAAGAAGAGGTCTCAGGATGGAGCCGGGTTATTGCTGGAGCTACCTGAGCATCAGGATCAACCACCTTCAACATTTTAGTAGCATCGATGGTCCAAGTTATGCTGATAAAGAGGAATGGGGTAGGCTACAGCAAGAATAAAGAGGCGCGGTTACCTGCTGGTGTACCAGAAACTGGTCAAGGTCGTATGCCTGAGAAGCAGGCAACAGCCTCTGCTCTGTCCTAGGAACCCCACCTAAAACCAGGGAGGTGGATAGATCTGAAGTGCGCTGCCAACCAGCGGGCTAGCTAATGAAACCGGGATACGTCAGGCTCTGCCAGGAGAGAGGGAAGCTGTCCCACTGAGCAGACCCCAGTGAGATCTCACCTCAGCCCTCCGGACCATGCTGCTTGCTAACACCCAGGAGAGCAGCTCTGGCGCAAGTCTGACTCACCAAGCCGTGAGCCAGGCTTTACTGCGAGTCCACAAGCACCTACAGACAGACACCCACCCTGCAGCAGACACAGCACTGCATGCCCCCACCTCACGCAACATTCAGTTCGTAAGCCCACGGTCCCCTGGGGAACATACACTGCCAGGGTTGCCCGCAGAGGAATTTGGTTTCCAAAAAGAGCAGGCAGCAGTGAGGCAGCCACATGCAGAGGGGTGTCTGCAAGGGATCTGTGCGCCGTGGTGGCCCGGGGTCCCCCCACTGCAGGGGACACGGTATCACAAACCTGACCTAGGCTGTCATGCCACGCATTTGCACCGCACCGTCGCGGGGCGTGGCTAGATCACCCCGCTGCGGCACAGAGGAACCCTCCTGAGTGCAGCTGGGCGCTGCCGGCACGGCGCAGGTTACCCACCACGGGTGCGTGACCTGACCGAGCGCCAGCACTAGCGAAGTGCTGTTCAAGAAAAAGGAGAGGTGGGATTATTTACCAACAAATGATTTGTACGGACAACGTTAAGGTCGCATCTTTGGTTGCATCTCAGCAGAGTTCAGCCAATATTAAATACCTGAAAGATGAGAAATCAAAGTTCAGCTGAAGCAGAGGACACTTCCAGGCAATATCCTGCAGCAGCACCTCAGGACAGGAGAGTCAAGTTACCTGGAGTCTCTGGACTTCATACTCCTCCAGTTTTCAGACACTTGTTTAACGTGAAGGAAAGCCTGGACTGACTGCACGGACTACGCTTTTGGGAGGCAGAGCTGTTTCTCTGGCAGGTAGCAGGATGAACATTCGCACGTGGAAGCACTTTGCACGTGGAACCTTTGCAAGCTCTCCATTCCCTTTTCCAAGGGCCGCTAGCAGCAGGGCGACAGCCTTTGCCGGTCGCGGTCCCACAGGACCACTTGGGAATCATCTACACGCGAGCACACGTGGTCCTCGCGCCGAGACGCTGAACCGGGGCTCACAACCGGGTCTCTAGGAGAGGAGCGGCATTGCTCGGAGCGACCGCTGCCCTCCAGCAGAAGTGCTCTGCCAGAGGCGTCCCCGGGCCACGCAGCCACCCGCTCCCGGGTGGGTCGGTCACCCAGCCACGCCGGGACGCCTCCCGGCAGGCAGCGGAGGGAGCGCGGGGGCT